CTCTCTCTCTCCCTCCCTCTCTCCCTCCCTCTCTCCCTCCCTCCCTCCCTCCCTCCCTTCCTCTGGAATGATACAAACATTGATAAGAAACAATAAACACGATACGTCATTTGATTCAGTTGGATTTCTTTGCAGTGATCTTAAATTTTCAGGTTTTGATTTTCATTTATTATATGTATTTTATGAATTCTATTTTATAGCCTAATTATTATAAGGACGCACCTCACTTCCGGTTGGTAGGTGTAGGGCCACAATATCGATTGGAGATTCCTTATGCTAAACTCGACTTTACTGGAACATATTCCGTAATAGCTCGCAACTGCTATGGGGAAGCTAAAACTGTAATCTCCTTGCAAATTTATACTAAAGGTAAATTTCAAGACATAAATAAAATTTACTTTACGTTATATAAATCTATTTCAATGATTTTTTCTAGGACAAGGCAAAGAGGAACAAACGCAGAAATCTCCTCACGGGTAAGCTATTACGACAGTCTAATAACATATGTACAATTTTATTTACTTCTATTAATAAAACATTAAATTCTATAGAAAGATATTGACTCTGCCGATTATAAAAAGAGAATTGCGAGATTTTCGGTGTTGCGACGGTGATGCTGTTTCCTTGGAGTGTAAGGTTTACGCAACACCAGAACCACCTTTGATTCGTTGGGAACGTGGAGACAAAGTAATAAGAAATTTAAACGCTTAATAATGCCGCACATAGTTGTTATAACATTTAAAATACTTTTATTAGATTATAACTATGGTGGGCGATTTTGCCGCTGAATTCGACGGTGAAACAGCACGATTAAATATCCAACATGTCTATCCTGAAGATGAAGGAGAATACACATGTGTGGCTTACAACAATCTTGGAAAAGCATATACATCGGCCTGTTTAGTTGTAGATGGTAATTTATATATGACTGTCAAAAGATATATATACAAAGATTCACACAAATAAAGATGTGACGTGATGCAAGTTATGAATATTTCCTTTGAATTACATTCCTATTTGTTATGCTAGTTATTGGTTATATTTTTAAAGATTACGTAATGATATGATTGACAATTAAATATTGAATTTATCATAATTACATAATGATATACATATACTTAATACATATATTATATCTGTGAGAAACTTTAACGTAAAAATTTTTTGTAGTTGCACGGATCTAAATTAATGTATGTCGTAGTTCCCGAGGGAGAAGAAAATATACTGAGCCAGAGACTAATAAGGCCAATGGATCTGCTGTCAGCAGGATCGACTCCGAGATTAACATCGCGATCGACACCCATCAGAAGCTTATCACCAGCAGCACGTAAGTTTAAAACAAAAGATTTAATAGTCAATTTTGTAAAAACGAGAATAAGGTTAAAAAAAGAGATAAAATAATTGAATAACGGTGATATCAAAAATAATAAACAAAAATTATTTTTAGACGGACGTGAATTTAGATTACTGCAAGTTCTACCGCAAAGCGACGTATCAAAGAGGCCGAAGGTTTTCCCGCCGAAATTTTATGCAGTTCCTCATAATCGTCTAGTTCAAGAAGGCGAAACTGTGCGTTTTCAATGTGCCATAGTCGGTTATCCTGCACCTTGGATAAGATGGGACAAAAATGGTACTATTGTAACATCGAGCACGAGATTCTCTATCAAAGAACGAGACGACATTAAAATACTTGAAATCATCGATGTAATGCGAGAAGATGCCGCTCTCTACAGAGTGACAGCAGAAAACGATTTTGGTCGAATTGAAGCCAGTGCTCGTCTTGAAGTAATAAGTACGTATACAGCGTGTCCTATTTGAAGCTTATTTGAATGCAGTTATCTCCCATACAATTTGTTATTTTTAAAAATGTTTCAAGCGCGAAACTTGCATTGTTTTAAGAAGAACATCTTTCGATCACAGATAGAGAATCTGATGATGACTCCTAAAAAAAAAAACAAATATGTCTCTTTTGAAACAAAGTAAGTTTCGCTTGAAACATTTTTTGAAATAATGAATATTTTGGGAAATAATTGCGCCCGAAGTTTCAAATGGAACGCCCTGTAAATAAATAACAAGGGATATTTTCTCCTTCCATCTTACAAAATATTCTTATTCTATAAAATTAATTATAAATAGATCGATACGAATCAATAAGTCGAACTATTAGAACTAGAAGTGCCTCGCCTAGGACATGTCCTTCGTTCAATCGTAGTCTTCTTCCGATTACCAGTAGAATAAACAGTCGTCTACAATTGGAATGTCCCATAAGAGGATCGCCGAATGTATCATCAATGTGGAATAGGTAAAAATGGAAAGATTTTATTACGTATGAAACCTGCAACACAAAGCATTATTAAAGTATAATTTTTGTCTAGAAATGGACGATTATTAGAACGATCCTCCAGAGTAAAGAGATATTTCGATAGCACAACTGCCAGAATCGAAATATCAAAAATGAAAGCTAGTGATGCGGGTGAATATATCTATGTAGCGACCAATATTCTTGGATCAACGAGAAGTAGTTGTCAGGTGAAAATCAAACACAAGTTGTCAACAATTTACCACCATTTCCTTAAGATCTTCTTTTAATTCAAAACATGTGATTATTCGCAGGTAACTGTATTAAGTCCCCACGATTTGTCTATCGCAGATAAAAATGCACCGCAATTTTTGCAATCATTACCCAAAGAATCAATTGTTATGGAGAACTATGCACATATTTCATTAGTAAGTGTATACATTTTAATTTTTTAAGTAATTACTGTTAATTGTAATCACTTTTGTGTTTAAATATTAAAACAGATGATAACGTTAGCATCTTAAAAATACGTGACATATCATTACGCGACACAGGCAAGGTTAGATGTATAGCTTCCTTGAACGAAGGGTCCATCCATCAGTTGTATTGTCAAGCTACAATTACAAAATTTGTTATACGACTTCTATGATTCCCTGACGAAGTCTGAAGATATTCAATCTTATGCACAAACCAAATTATCATTAATAAACACTGATTTTACAAGGATGTCCGGAAAAAATAGTAAAACTGTCGTTATTAAAATATCGGCGACGTCACGAAAAACTGCTAAAGTGTATTAAATCATCTTCATTTCCTCGATGTATTGCATCATATACTAAACATACTTTGCCTTTGCCAATAAGGTAATGCATTCCTAATAATACGTCATTTGAAGTAAAAGAATCACGATTTACAAAAGATTTATCAATAGAAGAAATTATAAAGAAAAATTTAGATAGTAGTCTAGGATTTTCCAAAGATCAAAAATTATCATTTTCATTAAACAAAGGAGGTATAACTTACATAAATTTATTATCAAAGAAAACGGAACGCTTTTGCCATCAGAATATTGACTCAAACAAAGAACCTATGGAATCGCGTCTTCAAGAATTAATAAAAGCAACAATAATAAAAGAATCAACTGATACTAGCGTATTTAGAGAAAGTAGAGTACTCAAAGTAACTTATCAAGGATGTCTCGAACCGACATTCAAGTAGTTTCAAGTAGTAGGTTCATTTCTTTTACTTTTATTACAAATTTTACTGACTATCCCAGCTAGCAAGCTCACGTGATAATAACGTGATTATGAAGTGATTTTGATGACAATGCCGTCAAGTGACATAAATGGAACGTTATTTTGACGTCATTTGTAATACCAAAAGTTGACGTCACCGATATGACGTCAACTAGATGTTACATTGACGTTATATATATGACCATTACTAATTAATTATTTTTTGTTATTATTTGTGTATTATTATTTGATGTATCACTTTAATATTCGATGAAAAACAAGGATAAAATGATATGTCATGCACATTACACTTACAGAAATGATACATATACTAATATACGTGATTATGAAGTGATTTTGATGACAATGCCGTCAAGTGACATAAATGGAACGTTATTTTGACGTCATTTGTAATACCAAAAGTTGACGTCACCGATATGACGTCAACTAGATGTTACATTGACGTTATATATATGACCATTACTAATTAATTATTTTTTGTTATTATTTGTGTATTATTATTTGATGTATCACTTTAATATTCGATGAAAAACAAGGATAAAATGATATGTCATGCACATTACACTTACAGAAATGATACATATACTAATACATACACTATCATATAAACACATAAACCTTCCGTTTTCAATATTTCCATTGAACAGATATATCACAATTATACAGACATTGACATACAGATT